TTTTTTTTAAATTGTGTGCGTGTGTGCATGTGTGTGTCCCTCCATCACTCTTACTCCCTCACTGCTTGAGATGCAGTCTCTCACTGAGCCTGGAGCTCACTGATAGCCACCCTGGCTGGCTGACAAGTCCCAGGGAGCTCCCTGTCTCTCTGCCTCCCCGGTGCTGGGATGGCAGGCAGATCGCAGGCATGCACCAGCACACTCTGCTTTTCCCATGGTACTAGGGATCCCATCTCAGGTCCTCATGCTTCTACGGCAAGCACCTGAGGCCTGGAGCCATCTCCCCAGCCCCTTTGCTTGTTTTAAGCCGGGTTCACTTTCATTCTCATAGCTGCACATTAAGAAGTCAACATTTAAGAATGTTGATTTCACAGCTCATTTAAATTTGTGCGTGTTCTGAAGTGTTTGTGCATGTGCTTGTTCAAGTGGGGTTGTGCATTTATGCACATGTGTATGCATGTGTACAGAGGCCAGAAGTCAACCTCAGATATCATTTCTCAGAATCTTGTTTTCTGAGACATGGTCTCTCACCTGGAACAGCAGAGTAAACCACTGGGACTGGCTAGCAATCTCCAGGGATCTCCCAGTCTCCTCCTGCCAGCTCTGAGATTATACACACACACTTCCACACCCAACTTTTGTCCCCCCTTGGATTCTGGGTCTGGGACTCCAGTCATCATGCTTGAGTGGCGAGCACTTCAGCGACAGCTATCTCCTCATCTCCCATCTATGGGCATTTTTAATTCCTGGATTATCTACCAATACTCTCTGACTCTGAATGGTATTTATTACTATTCTTCAGGACAGAAATGCCTTATTTATTAACTCCACACAGTACAGTATCATTGACACAGCGTTTCGTGTGACGTCTCATGTTCTCAAGAGAACCAAACATGGTGGTGAACTAGCCTGACTGATCTGCTCACCACGGGATGCCTATGGTAAATGTGCTCATCCACTCACTGAAAGTAGGGGAAGCAGGACATTAAGTGTTATGAAATTTCATGTTTGTCTTGGTGTTTTATTCAATTCGGCTTTCAGATTGCTTCTTGTATAGATTTAACTGAAAATAAAAATGTAGGCTTTAAAAAATGTTTGGGCAGCATTTTAAAGTGTTGACAGAATTGACATAACTTTAAAAATGTTAACTATGCCAGGCCTCTGACATTGTTCACTAGGTTTAGCTAATATTTTCACAGCATTATACTGAAACTACTGAATAAAATATACTTTAAAGAAATTATTGGCATCATAAAATCTTCCAGAAGTTGGTGAGATTTGATTTTTTTAATGTTCTTTTAAAGTTTAACTTATAGAAGAGGGGATTTTTTAAGATCTATTTTTATTTTATGAGTGCTTGCCTGCATGTCTGTATGTGCACCACATGCGTGCCTGATGCCACAGAGGTCAAAAGAGGCCATTGGGCATTGAATCAGCTGGAACTGGAATTACAGACAGTTGTGAGCCATGTGGATGCTGAAAATTGAACCTGGGTTCTCTGGAAGAACAACCAGTGCTCTTAACCACCAAGCTATCTCTCCATCCCAAGAGACACATTCTTGTTTTTGTTGTTGTTGTTGTTGTTTTATATTTTCGAGACAGAGTTTCTCTGTGTAGTTTTGGTGCCTGTCCTGGATCTTGCTCTGTAGACCAGGCTGGCCTCCAACTCACAGAGATCCGCCTGGCTCTGCCTCTCCAGTCCTGGGATTAAAGGCATGCACCACCACTGCCCAGCGAGTGAACTGAAGTTTTTATGTACTTTTTTGTTTTTGACTCTCAATAACCAAAGAAAACTTTAAACAAATTATGCTGCATGATTCCTGGCTTACTTGAATGCTATAATTCACTTTGCTGAAACTAAGAGATAAGTGTGTAATAAGAAATACTATACTGCCAAGCATGATAGTGCATGCCTTTGATGCCAGTGAAAACAGATGGATCTCTGAATGTGAAGCCAGCATGGTCTACATGGTAAGTTTAGGCCATTGGGGCTAGTTACATAGAGAAACCCTTTCTCAAATTAAAAAAACAAAAACAAAAATTAAAAAAAACCGACAAAAAATACAAAAAAAGAAATATCATATTAATCAAAAGCTAAGTTTTAAAATATATATAAATTATATATACACACATATCAGAAAATGTTCTTAGAAAGGTTCTAAGTTTTTATAAGCAAGAGGTTTGAAGTAATTATGTGCTAGAATCAAATCATGTAAAGAAAAGCCAATTTTTTTTTGTTTGTTTGTTTTTGTTTGTTTGTTTTTCGAGACAGGGTTTCTCTGTGTAGCTTTGCGCCTTTCCTGGAGCTCACTTGGTAGCCCAGGCTAGCCTCGAACTCACAAGAGATCCACCTGGCTCTGCCTCCCAAGTGCTGGGATTAAAGGCGTGCGCCACCAATGCCTGGCTAAGAAAAGCCAACTTTTTAGGAGAGAAAAAAAGATATCATAATATGCTTGACAGAAGCAACTTTCCTTTTAGATCTGTACCCCATCCAAGTCTGTCCAGGGTTTATTTCTAAGTGGTTGTGGTTCACCACAGAAGTCACCCCTCTACTTCCTCCCCTCCCCCTTCGCCCCTGCCCGGTCACCTCTTTTCTCTCATCAAATTCTCCCATCACTCCTCTGGTTCCAACTTCTAAAATGTGCTTATCCACAGAAAGCTGGGCTGGCCCTCGCCTGTCACAGGCCACACGCAGGCAACGCAGATCTACCGGGCAGGAGGTCGCACTCCATAGGTGCCACTGTGCTCCACAAAGGGGCAGCAGCACACAGGAGCAAAGCTCTGTAAGAAGCGTGCACCGTGAAGACAACGCATCCATTCTAACCAGCAGAATTCCCACGCTAATATATGACTAGGCGTATAAGGAAATTGATTTTGAAGGCCATATCCGTTTGGGATGTCTCCAAATCTCTCTACTTTGGATCCCCAAAACATGTGCATGGGTGCCTCAAATCTATGATTTTCTGGCCCTAATCAGAGAACCTCTGGAGACGAGTCAAGACATGACAAGAGCTTGGCTTAAGTTCACCTAATGCCTGTATAACAATTGTGAAAAAAATATTTTGTCATTTCCAGTATTCTCCCCAGAGAGCTTCTAAGTATTTCTGGCTTTCCTTCAATAGACCTTTCTCCGAAATTCACTGCAAATAACCAGAGCTTTGTCAAAAGTGGCTGCCAAGGAACAGAGCTTTCTCTGATGGAGTAAATAAGCAAATAAGGCAGAGTCAGCAGCGTGGCCGGCAGAGTGGCCATTGGGACAAACTGTCCTGTAGCTGTGTTCCTCGGCCAGCTTGAGTCAACAGTGCATACTGCCCGCCCCTGTCAGAATCCAAACAACGCTGGGCGCCTGAAGGATGGCTGCCTTTGGATACACTGGTTTCTGAGTCAGAAGTCCAGACGTGCCTTCTAAAATAAGATTATATTCTCCCTTTTCATCTGAACCCATGGCTATGAGAAAAACTGTGTACCTGGCTGTGACCATGCCACATCAGCAGGATCTAATCAGGACCCTGTAAACTTGAAAACCAAAGCAGTCCTAGGAGTGCCTATGCTATAATTCCCTAATGTCTTTAAAAACACAATCAAAGGCTGGGGACATAGCTCAGTGGATAAGACCATTTGCTGTGTAAGCACGAGGGCCCAAGTTCAAATCCCCGGCACTATAGAAACTGCACGTGCCTGTAACCCCAGCTTTGTGGAAAGGAAAAGGGGAGATCCCAAGAGCTTGCTAGCCAGCCAGCCTAGCCAAAGGTTCAGTAAGAATCTCAAGGTAATAAGGCAGATAGATAGTGATAGAGGGAACACCCAATGTCCTGCTCTTCTGGCCTCTGCATGTACACCCATGGGTGTACACACCGCACATTTACAGGCATGAACCATATATGCAAACCAGACACATAAATATACATATAACCAAAATGCTGTTTGCAACCCCCATGAATCACTAAAATGCAACCCAGCCTGTACCATCATTTGTCATCACATCCCCACGCCACCATGGACCAGTGATCTCAGTTCTCCCTCCGTAAACTCTGACATGTAAACAGATGCCATTTGTTTAGGGTAAAGTGATGTCATGTAGTTGGAATGAACGTAAGGAGAGGGCTAAGGGAGGTAAAGGGAGCAAGAAGGAGGAAACAGAAGTTATTATATCCATCTCAGGATATGGTCTGTGAATAAAGGAAACTACTAAATAGTATGTACATTTTTTCTGCCTTTTGTGTAAGTCAACTAATGATAAATATTTGCCTAAACACCGGAAAGATACATTAGAAACTAATAAACCTGGATAGGGTGGAGGGATCCAGTGAAGGATGAAGATGATGTGGGCACAATAAACACATTTTTTTGTGTGTGTTTTGTTTTCTAAGGTGTGAGGATTGATCTCAGAGCCTTGTATATTCTAAGCACATGCTTGGCCAACTGAGTTACATGCCTAGCCCAAGACTTCTTAATATATATTAACTTGTATCAGTTGATTTTTTTTAAGTCACAAGAATATGTTACATAATTTCTTTTAGTGAGAGAAAATTTTACAACTTATCTTGGATGTTGGGGGAGGTATGTAACTGTTAACACCACATCATATGAAACTCAGTGACATGGATTCTAAATCCCAGTGCTTACGAAGCCGAGGCAGAAGGTTCACCAAGTCAAGGCATGCCTGAACACCAGGAGCTCCTATCTCAATCAAAACAACACTCAGCAAAACAAAATTACAAAGAAACAAACCCACTGGTGTCCATAAAGATCTCTTGGCTCCCAACAACTTTGTTTGAGACACCATCATTTCCTGGCTCTGAGAGTGAAACTCACCAAAACATTTAAAAATGACTGAGCTTCGTAGGGAGGCAGAGCCAGGAGGATCTCTGTGGGTTCGAGGCCAGCCTGGTCTACAGAGCGAGATCCAAAACAGGCACCAGAACTACACAGAGAAACCCTGTCTTGAAAAACCAAAAAATAAAAATAAAAATAAAAAGACTGAGCATCCACCTGGACATGGCACACTGGGGACTGACTATAGGTAGGAACCGCAGGGCATGTGTCTGCCTCCACTTCCTTCTCTACAAAAGCCAGTGACTGAGAACACTTGGGATGTGGAGAAGTCCTTCTTCCTCCCACCCCAAAGGTTAGGACTTCAGATGGCTGAGGAAGATTTCCCTGTGGAAAATCCAGAGCTAACTTAACAATAAACTTGGTCACGTCAACTGCGTGTTGGAGAGTACTATGAAACACACTCCCAGCCGGTCTGCCATCTCGAACAGGAACTGTCCACATGAGGAATTTCTCGGGACTTACGTGTTTCTCCTACATTCAGAACAGTCATGAAAAAAACGAAACTTCCCAAGAGCCAGGGGTGAAGACGAGACACAGTCAACACCAAGCAGAGGGAAAGAGGAAGTGGCCGGAGACTGGACATGCTCTCTCAGTGCACACAGTTTCCTAAGCAATGGTTGCCCACAAAAAAGGCAACTTTCGAAGCACTTTAGGAAAGGCTGTGAATAGTTTTTTTTATCTAAATAAAAAGAAATTTTCCTTATTATTTACTTATTCTTTGAGAATTCTATATAGTATATTTTATCATATTTTTCCCAACCCCTTCTCCGATTCCCTCCCTCCACCCAATTTCATGTTCCTTTTCTCTCTTAAAAAGAAAAAAACCACTAAAACCCATGGAGTCTGACTTGTGATGGCCACTACTCCTGAGCACGGGGCCTGCCCTGGAGTACAGCTAACACACCCAGTGTCACTCCACTGAAGAAAACGGAGTTTCCTTCTCCCAGCAGCGAATGTATTTCTGAAAAGTAGAAGAAAAACAGCCAGAGGCAGAGGGTAGCGTCACCTCATGCTTAGAGAGTTTCCAGTCGTCATTGAGATCCATTTCCTGAAACGATTCATGGGACCTTGGGCCATTTCGAATCTCCAGGAGGTCAATGTTGAATATCAGTGTGCTCTCTGGGGGGATTTTGCCTGATATGAGGAGATAAGGAAATTTTTATTTAGAAGATCTGAAAGTATTCATAACAAAATCAATTGTGGTAACAGACATTTTAACTACATTAAATGAAAAGGCCCTCTAGGATTGTCACAGGCAGTGGAAATCACTCATTCTATAATTACACTTTACCCGGGAAAGAAAAGCAGACTCAAAGGAGGAGTTACGCAAACTGGCAGAACAAAGGACTCTAGTGTGAAGTAGTGATAAAACATATGCACATATGCAGATGTTCCCGATGCTGTTTCAAATATAATTAAGGCCCTTCAAGTTACATGTCAAGAATGACTTTTAAAGGGCTTTGAGCAATTCAGACTTAATTATATTACAAGAGATTTACTAATTTAGATCAGAAAGTCTTGACCTTCAAGTACATAGGGTTGGTGCTGCCATGCCTACCACTGGGAGGCAGTATAGAACAGTGTGAGCTCTGTTCACATCTGCTGCCTCTAGGCATCAATTCCTTCTTTGTAAAATGAGATTGATAACATTTTCTGCCTTAGAAGTCCATGAGAAGGATAAAGGGTAAAAACTTATGCAAAAATAAAGCGCTGAGTATTACTCATGATAAATAGTAAGAGCCTGATATAAATTATTAAGATATAATTTTCTTACAGGCCTTAAAAATAGTAAAGGAACATTCAAAATTTTCAACAACTTAGGAAATACCTCCCTGACATAGAACTTTATGCATTTGTTGAAGACATTTCATCAGAAAAGAAAAATCCAAATGAACTTCTGTAAAGAAAGCTAACAAATCTTCAAGAGTTTAAAAAAACAAAACAAAACAAAACAACAACAACAACAACAAAAAACCTGTTAAAATCTCAGGTACTAACAAAAAAGCCCAACTAATAATCAAAGAAACAAACCCTTCTTGTAATTTTGGGCATTTTCCCCCCAAACTTTCAAACTTGCTTTCTTATAACTATTTAATAGAAAGGTCTGGGCACACTCATTAAACAAGTCTTAGCTATGTCCCCATGGAACTTTCCTCAAAGTTCCATGGAAGGCCATTAGTAAGTTTCTAAGAGGACAACACTCACAGTGTGAGCCAAAGCTTACCGTCGTGCTGGAGACAGGGAAGGGACATGCACTTAGGTCGGAGGGAAAGCTGGTATCTTTCCAAGGAGGCATGCAAGCGTGTGTTAAAACACTACGAAACTAGTGGCAAATACACAGTAGAAGAATTAGTTTCATGACACCGGAGGAAATGACTGCATGCTATAAAGTACAGCTGAGTTAATGCATGGACAACTACGACCGCGCTGCATACATAAAGTTAATAGTGAAAGAACAAAGACACAGGAAAGAAAGACTACATCTAGGCACCTTTTTCCCTAACTACTGGATTTCTTTCTGTGAAGAATATAATCAGAACTGAATTTGGTTAATAACCAAGCCTGTGGACCATGGCTTAGATAGCTAGTCCTACTTTGGAGTACATCATATTCATATACAGTACTTAACCTCATTAGGAAACTGGGGCAAGGAATCTTGGTCCCTACTTTGTCAACTGAAATGCTTTGCTGAAGAATGGTGTGAAATCGGTTTAAACCACATCAGAGTGATTCTCTATCTGCTTCTGATAGCTTCTTACAATTTTTTCTCCACTGTATAAGTACTACATTTTCTTCACAGAGAATTTGGAAGATAGAATCAGAAATGAATATAATTCTCAGAATCACAATACACTATGAATATTTTATTCATTGTGATACACTTTCAGTGTGCATATACTCCCCCTTATACTCACAGGGAAAGCTAGTCATACAGAAAATCTACTTTCTATTTTTACAATACACACATTTCACATGTAACTCATATTTGGCTAACCTCTGATGATAACACTCAGGTTGGTTTCAATTGTTTTAATGTAAAAAACAACACAGTGGTAGACATCCTGGTCCACTAACCTGTCTCTTCAGATCTGGCCATTGGCTCAGAGCAGATTTCAGTGAAGAGACATCTGGGGCCAGCTGATCAGCATCACCCAACAGCCCTTGGAGAGCTGTATAAACTCAGCCTAAACACTAGGTATGTCTGTACCTTGGATCCAATTGGCACAAAAACTGTGTGGACCAGCCAGCCAGCTTGTAACACAAGGAGAATTATTTTTAATTCATGTCAATATATTATTTTAAAATAAACTATTGAGCTGGGCAGTGGTGACACACACCTTTAATCCCAGCACTCACAAGGCAGAGTCAGGCAGATCTCTGAGTTAGAAGGCCAGCCTGGTTTACAGAGCAAGTTCCAGGACAGCCAGTGCTACACAGAGAAACCCTGTTTTGAAAACACAAAAATAAGTAAGTAAAATTAAAATAAGCTATTGAAAACTTCGCAAATACATTTAAAAGCAAAAATGAAAGGACTCCCAATGAAATCTACGGTGTGGAAGACTGCCTGGCTGTAAATATATATATACATACATACACACACACACAGCCACACATCAAATTGTATCCAATGATCTATATTCCAAAGGTCCAAATCATCAAGACACTTGTTGGATGGCCTTTCTTGTTGCATTGATAAAGTGAGTTGGTGGGTTTCCATTTGGGAGGGAGGAAACATTCAGAGACTCACAACAGTGATGGGTACACAATTTTACCTTTTCCTTCTTTGCCATAGGCCAGGGCAGGAGGGATGATGAGCTTTCTCTTCTCTCCCACACACATCCCCTTCAAGCCTTGGTCCCAGCCTTTGAGAGCCTCCAGGATGCCCAGGGTGAACCAGATGGGCTGACCATTGTTATGTTTGTGGCTACCAGAAAGAAAACACATTCGAATTTAAATCATTTTGGATCTTTTTTCCCCCATTAGGAATTTAAGCCAGAGTCCCATGAATGCTAGATGAGCACTCCATACATGAGAGATATTTTTCGTGACTTTAAGACAAAGATCACTGCTATGCTTCATTTTGTCTACCCACCAGTGGTTAAGCTTATGACCTCAGAAACTAAAGAAAGCAGCCCTTCTTGGATTGGAAACACACACACACCCAAGTCTACTTCATAGCAATTCAATTAATTCCCTGCTCACTTTTCTTGATGCAAAATTCATAAACTGAGTCAGTCTGAGAAGGGCAGAGGAAATAGTAAAAATAATAATAACAATTAATTTGAACATGTACTTTAAAGCAAGTATTGTAAATTTGTCTCTAACTTCAGTGATAATCCTGTTGTTGGTAAGTATTCTTAGAAGATTGTCCCCAGGATTTGATCCTCTGTCTCTCAAACCACAAGGAGCTCAAATCTACAGCAGTTGCACATAACCTACTGTATATATTAAACCATCTTTAGATTATA